GGCGACAGAATTGTCGCTCGGCAATAGAGCCATATCTTCGGCGACAGACTCTGTTTTCTAGACGCCAGTTCCTACATGCCTCAACAGCTGTCTATGTTCTTAAAATTTTCCAGTTTTTTGCAGCATTATTTCGATTCTAGTTGTGAAAGATATTCCTCAAATTTCCTACGAGTAAAAATCCTATGTTTTTGACTCATTACGGATGGTCTATCCAATGAGATCCTTTTTTATGCATATGACGATAATGTTAATCAAAATTACGCACATGAAATAATTAGAACTTTTCGAGTCTCATCCAGTCATTCTAAATCATTGCTGAATTAAATTTCAGGAATTAAAATAGAAATCCTCCCCAATGGAGTCGCCAAAAACTGTAGGAAATATTTCAAGCATTACTCCAAACTTGAACCCCACTGTGATCATACACTAAAGTACGGTGGCGTCCAAAGGGAAGGAAGGTAGAGCAAAAGAGTCGCCAACAAGTTTTAGGAACTTGTAAACCGTTCACAAGGTGAAGGTTACACCCCTTAACGATCAAGGAGATCGTCAACTCCAATAGGTTTGGAACCAAGACTGGAAGTTCGGGGATGAAGGTACAAATCCAATCTAAAAGAGAAAGAACCTGCCCTAATAATAGACTTCTACTTTATTCTTCTTGTATTTATGTGCGCTTTCTGACTAACATGCAATCATTATGTTTGGTTTTGGGGAGACATAAATGGGTGTTTACACCACCAAACAGTATTTTGTAGTTGTGATGAAGAAAGTAATCAAGAATTCACCAATTAAATAACTGTAATATAAAATTATAAACTAGCTCTTCAATTACTCCTATACTCATATGTTAAATTATTATTATATATATATATATATATTTTTTTTTAAATGAGTAATTTCTATTGATTTGTATAAATAAGGAAGATTAATTGTTTAATGGTTTGTTTAAATTAAATTAAATTGGGGTTTAAGATGTGAGTATATGATGTAGAGATCAAATTCTATGTTATTTTAATCTTCATTGGATAAAAATATTAACGTTAAATCAATACGATGGTTGTAACAAATTTTCTCAGGAATTTTTCGTAGTTGTATAGCATGATTAGAAATATCCATTACATTAGCAAGGGTATGATCTATTTTATGTTGATGATTAGTAGTAAATATATCGGTAGTGTGGCATAGGATTATTTCCGAAACAATGGACCCTATATAAGTGTTGTGTTTTCCTTTTAGGCAACTTGCTTTATTTTTGTGCGGCTACTGTCAAAAAATACTTACATAAGGATCAATAGACTTGTTGCAGAATTGTTGTGGCTTGAGCTTGTGTGGATCGTTGGTGGGCTGGGGTTCAGGTGATTTTTATGATGATATGATCTCTTGCACTTGTTAAAAATGTATTGATAGTTAATGGCTTTAGCTTCTGTGGGTCATCTCTTCTCTTTGTTGATAAAAACTAATGCTTTCTACTGTAGTAGGTTAGTAACTGGACCAGTGAAAGACACTCAGATCTCAGCCTATTTGAGTCTTCAGTGTTGTACATGTTTAGCTTAAAATATTTATACATGGTAGAATAAATAAATAGATTGAATCATATGTCTATACAGAACAATATTTTGTGCTAAACGTTCTGAGAATAATTAGAATTGAAAGTGGTGGCTAGAGTTGAAGGTGTTTGAATTTGGAAAAACATACCCTGGTCTTCTAAATGAGCATGTAAGAATGGGCGCCATTTTCTGTTGGTATTGTGTTGAATTAGTTAATTATTCAGTCATATATAATCTCATATGTTAAATTATTATGTTTTTTTTTTTTTTTAAAAATGAGGTTAGTTAAAATAATTTTAGTGAGAGCACACTCAGCGAAGTGAAGGTGTATGAGACTTCTAAGTTCACCTATCCAAAGTAGTATTTGGGGTCCAAAGGAACTACCTGACAGGTCAAGATATTCAAGAGAATATAGGTTTTCAATAAATGGTAGAATGCCTCTCTCGAAAGTATTAACACTTAAATCTAAATGACTGATATATAGTGGATAAGAAACAAGAGATGATGAATTCTTCATATTCAAATGAATTTGAAGACAGTTTTGTAAGCTACACCCACTCAAACGCAAAACACTTAAAAAAGGGAATGGAATAAGTGAACCTATCCAGTCATGCATGGACTTGACTTCACTTAATTAGTGCCCCTCAGATTAGTTATTGAAGATTATAAACTTCACTTAATGTAATTTACTAAAGTTGTGTTTCTTGATTTTCTGCAATTGCTACCACTTGATCATTTATGATACTAGATTAGGTCCCGTGCCATGCACAGTTATTTCACTAAATTTAATCAATGAAAGAAAAAAATAATGTATGAAAAAATAGTATAGATAAAATGTATCTGTAACAAATTTATTATCTTCTTATTTTGCGTATATAATGAAATGAAACATGAAATATAACGAAAGAGTCAATTAGCCAAATGAGTATATTAAAACTACATCTACATGTTAGACCATATGAGTGTTTTTAAAATTCAATGATAATTTAGTATTAAAATTTCTTTTTATTAATCAAATGAGTATTTAAAATTGTGTATTACACTTAATGGGCAGGAATGATAACCCTGTTTTAATATTTAGTCAATTTTTTTCCTAAATTATGATACTTTATGAAAGTATTGAATATACAAATACAAACTAAAGGATTTAATCAAATTGTCTTACATGATTACATGTATAGATAAGGTGTTTATAATGTTATGCTATGTTGCTAAACTCCCTTCATATATTTATTAGGCTATTCGTATTAGAATTAAGCAAGAAACCAATTAAAGTATTAAAAAAAATTCAAACCATTCAATAATAATTTGTGTAGTACAAATCTATAATTTAATACATTCATCCTTTTAAATTATATTAATCAATTGAATGAAAAAATTATGATGTATTAAAGATTTGTCGATCATACAGAGTAATATTTATGGAAACGGATTAACAACTAAAGTAATATATCTATACTTCTATACTTTAGTATTTAAGAACACAAACCATCATCCCTATATTGCCACATGTATATTTTATTTTTTCCCAATGCCACATGTCTCCTCGTTTAATTTTTTTTAATCCCCTTTTTCATATTAAAAAAAAAAAATCTAGTTCGATACATGTATGAATGTTGTTTTGTTCACTTTCCCCCAATTTAATTTCTTCTATAATTACATTTAATTTTCATCTCTTCTTCTACTCTATAAATTATTCATTTTCCAATATACATATATTAAAAGAATAATTATTTATATTATATACTTATAAACAAACCTTGCATTGCATGAGACAGAAGGCTAGTTTACTATAAAAGATACGTATAAAATATTTGAAATAATATTATGATAGTTATATTATACCAAACTTCTCAAAGAAGATATTCGCAAAAAAAAATGTAAGGGTTTTTTTTGGAGGGAAAAAGTTACACCAGAAATTGACACGTGTCATTCTGGTGTCTGTTTTAGTATTATGTTATTGATTTTATAATGGGGGTTATGATATAATAACGTAACAACATTAATCACTAGACAACGAAAAGGTTGTTGCTTTAAGTAGGAGTTTTTTTTTCTTTATTTTGTGATAACTTACACATAATTGTGTTTAAAAGACATTGAGACTAATGATATTAATCTGATGATTGTGCTGAAGTAGATTAACTAGGAAGAAAGGAAATCAAACTGATATTAATCACGCAATCCATTAATTTACAAAATTATTATCTGCAAAAAACCAACGTCTTAAACAAATAAAACATAACCCAATAAAAACCAACAAGCCGCTCCGCATGCATCGCGCGCGTTGGCTACCCCAGTACAAATAAAACGCAGAATCTCTTTTCACTTCTTCTTCTTCCTTCTTCTACTTCTTGCCATCTTTATTTCTTCTTCTTTTTTTTTTGTTAATATTTTGTTTCCTTTACAAAATATCTCTCTCTCTCTCTCTCTCTCTTTTTTTTTAATCTGATCTTTTTTTATTTCTTTCTCGATTTTAATTCATTCTTTTTTTTTTCAAATTCTTATTTTCTCTCTCCTTTGTTCTTTTTTTTTTCGGTTAATTTTTTCCATTGATTTTCAGCATTTAACATGATGAAAATTGTCGATATTCCTGAAGAGATTAATCTAGGTTAGTTAATTATTATGAATTCATTGTGACCAAAATTAATTTACTTTTGATTTTGAGTTGAATTTGTGGATGAAATTATTGTTTTAATAATATCAATTGAATTGGTTTAAACTAATCAGATCGATTTCAATTTGTAATTCATTATGATTGATTAATTGATATTTTTTATTGTTCTTATTAATTTGATCGATTAATTTAGTAAAAAAATTCGAACATTGCAAATTTTGAACAGTTATTATAAATTTCTGAACAATTGCAAACTTTGAACATTTGGGGAAAAAAATCCGAACTGAACATTGAAAATTTTGAACATTTAGTAAAAATATATGAATAATCGCAATGTACCACGCCTACACTTTTGAACATTTAGTAAAAAAAATATGAATGATTGCAAAATTTGAACATTTAGTAAAAAAAATCCGAACTGAAAATCGAAAATTTTGAACATTTAGTAAAAAATACTTCAACAATCGCAATGTACCACGCATATACTTTTGAACACTTAGTCAAAAAATTTGAACGATTGCAAATTGTTAAAATTTTGAAAATTTAGTAATAAAATCTGAACATCGCAAAATTTGAACATTGAGTAAAAATATATGAACAATCGGAATGTACCATGCCTTTACTTTTGAACATTTAGTAAAAAAATCTGAACAATTGCAACTTTTGAATATTCAGTAAAAAAATCCGAACATTGCAAATTTTGAACATTTAGTAAAAAAAATCTGAACAATCGCAATGTACAACTGCACGCCTTGAAATCGATCGGATTAGATTCAACAATTCATCTTCATCACTACATGTAGATTAATTTGCCGAGTTTCTAAAAATTTCAGCGAAAATAAACAAATTACTACTCTCAACTCAAATTACTACTTTTATTGGAGCTTCAGTTAAGCATTTGCAGACTATTAAGGCCCGTAAACTATACTACAAAGCCTGCAAGACGATCCACAACATGACCAATAACTTAATCCCACATCGCCGGAATCCTAGCTCAGCCGAAACCCCAACCCTCAATAACTTAATCCACCACATGACCAATAACGATCCACAACATGACCAATTCCACTCTACCTCAGCCGAAACCCCAACCCCTCAATCGCCCCCACCAAGAATTGAGGTATTACTTTACTCAAGAAAACAGAGTGTGGTTTTTTGAATTATTCTGCTACAAGTAATATATACTATACTGGGAAATTGGGAATTGCTCTATTTATAAGGGAAAAAAAGCGGATGAACATAGCTGAGTTCTCTATTGAAGCGCACTCAACATCGCGCTTGACGTTCCCCATTGAGTAAGTTATTTCTTTTAGTAATCATCATATCAATTTCACAATCCAGGGTTCATCTTTCATCTAATTTAATTTGATTGTCAGTTCAGTAATTGTAGTGTTCGAAAAGCGGAACTATTACTTCTAAATTTCATAGCTTTTTGTTCAATTGTTGTTGGGTAATTGGATAAAAGTGGCTACTTGGATAAGTTAGGTTTTGTTCACTTGGATTTAAGTTAGAAATCATGATTTTGGACAGTTATGGAAGATTGGAACAAACCCTTTACAGATGAAGAATTGGTAGCCATTGATGCGGCATTTGAAGCAGCGGCTGCTTCTTCAACCGCTTTGTCTTCTTCATTGCACCTCAAACCTCCAGTCCATTTTCTGGTTCCATTATATGCAATCAAGGCAAAATGAGTTTGGCTCCGAATCCGTGCTCTACAAAATGGCCTGTTTGATATATAGAATTATAATTAAGATTATTATTCAGAATCAGTGCTCACCAATTGGTGATGATCATGAAATGTGATTTGCTTTCCTTCATAATAATGGATTAATGGTGGTAATGAAATTAACTCTTCATGAGATTAAATGGACCATATCAAAGCCTTAGATGATTATGATAGTACCCCTCTTTACAGAGAGGATAGTCCATGACCACCATACCGTATTTGGTTGTTATAAAGCAAAATAGTCCATGACCACCATACCGTATTTGGTTGTTATAAAGCAAAGTAATGGTGAAATTGGAGATGGAGAAAATGGGCTTACAAGGTGATATGGCTTTAGAAAGAAGCAAATGGAGGAGAAGGATCTTTGTGGATGATCATGTGATATAGGTTCTCGGTTTATGTAGCCAACCCCATCTCTTTGGGAATATTAGACTATGACTTCTTGTTGTATAATATGGAGTAATGTGCTTCTACTTTTTAAATATACTAGGCTATTTCTCATTGCACCCTTTTCTTTAAAGGATTTTTTTGAAAGTTCTCGTTGAAAATAATTTCCTGCAATTTTGAAGTTAAGTTCTTTTTATTTTTTATTTTTATTTTTATTAACTGTATAAAAGCCCCACTTAAAGGTAGTTTACGTGCTGTTAACCCTAAATTTTAATCATCTTACTCATGGGGTATAATTATATATGTAATCTGAATTTCAGAGTATGGCAAGAGCCAAAAAGTAGAAAAAAGTCAGATAAGCTTTCTAAAAGTTTGTAAAATGACAGTATGGCCGTGTAGAATGGAGTGATAAGTTAATTTTTAATGTCAACATACTATTTGAAAGATGTATTCTTTAGTAGAGAAATTGATGAGTTTCTTTGTATATGATGTAGATCAAAGTATGGCATTGCATGGGAGATCCAAGAAGCGACCACTAGAGCAACATGTTCGCTCATCTACTAATAGACTTCAAATGAAAAGGCCAAGGATGCCAATGGCCGTAGTGGAGGCCCGGATGGTGAGGAAATGGGATGAGATGGACCATGACATATTGGTCACCATCATGAAGTACATGGTGCAGGGGTCGTATTTGGTACGGGGGTTTAATCTTTACAAGTCCTTCATAGTGTGCAAGTCATGGAGGTCAGCTGTGTTGGATTCACTCTTCCCGCCTGGCAATGTGCTGGATCTTTGCTTTTTGAAAGGCGCCCCAGCGGAGGAAAAGCAGTATTATCTATTTTACTTGAAATTTTTGCTCCGCCGCCCTCACCAGTACACCAAACTAATTATTCCCAGCATTAATTTTAGGGGTGAAGCAGATATGTACATTGCGCAAAGGTAACACCCCTACAACTCTAAAGCATCAAAGTGCGATATCTTTGATTATTCAATGATTTAACTTTTGGCGAATATATCATTCTAGGGGTGAAGCAGATATGTACATTGCGCAAAGGTAACACCCCTACAACTCTAAAGCATCAAAGTGCGATATCTTTGATTATTCAATGATTTAACTTTTGGCGAATATATCATTCTGACATTCCATTGTTTCACCTTCTATGTGTGTATGTGTGCCCGTGTGTGTAGGATCATATTGTTTGATGATTACTTATGGAAACCCACTTTTTTTCCAGATATTTGTATTATGATTTATGTGGCAATTCATGAGTACGCTATTCTCAGCAAGTCCCTCAGTATCTATATTGCTGTCCTCCCACATGCTCATGTGAAGCGTTTGCTGAATATACATACTTGAAATGTATGATAATCTTGAATGATTGCTTGCTGTTTATCTTATATTCTGGAGCATTAGCAGAAGTTCCAGTTGTGCTTACTCTTTAATATAGTTCCAATTAAGTCACCATTTCATCATAGAAGGCCATGGAGTAGCCAGCGATTGTCTTCTTGAAGCTTTGTTGCATGGGAATGGGATTATGTCAATTTAGTGAATAAATATTAAACAACACAGTAAAGAAAACATTACAATGAAGTTGAAGTTGACTTCTTGACTTTGATATCCTTGCCTACTAATGGAAAATATAATCTATCGCAGCATGTCTTCTATTTCATGCTTATTACTTCTTTTTGTTGTCAAATAAAGTTTGTAATAGCCTTACCAATCATTTTGCTGTTTAGTAATCTACAACAACAGGCAGGTTGGCGATCCAACTTTTGGCTTCACTTGATTTCTTCAACCCCTGGAAATATCTTCTACTTTTTGAATGAACTTGTTTTGGTTTGGTTGTGTATTCATTTGGATGTGTAAATCATATGTAGATAGCAGCAAGCAGCAAAATTAAGTGACCGTTGTGATATTCCTACCCCTATCTGGGACTCTTAGTTAATAAACAATAACATAACGCAATGGCTCAATAGAGGCCCCTGCTAAGGCAGGATTAAGGGAGGGTTGTGTGTACGTTGTCTTGCTCTTAATGGAGTGATTGATTTTAATCAATCCTTGAGTTGAAGGTGTGTCAATCATGTGCTAATGTGGCATCACAATTAGGCATGATTGTCTTAAACTAATTATGCCACATAATCAGTTCAGTGGTTTGGAGTTAAAGTTTCAATGGGTTGATTTTTTACTAATTTATTTTTTACTTATTACTTTTTATTGAGAAGCTTCAGTTGAGTCCCATATGAGAAATGTTGTCTGCTTGATCTAGAACTTACCTTCAATTTTGCTCATTTGCTGCCCATTATTTGCTTTATTCTCCATTTTTCTCTAATAGAACCTAATGTGAATTTTTAAAATCATGGTAAGTTTCACTCATGATGGTTGTCGTATTGTGATACTCTCTTTTTTATTTATTTATTTTTTACATATATATATATATATATATATATATATATATATATATATATATATATATATATATATATATATATATATATATATATATATATAGTGACAGTTTTAATTTTTTACCACGAAACTGTGTAGAATACTGCAAATGGACGCCTCATGGTCAATTGTAGTAAGTCTCACTAGTGTGCTGCATGCACTGAACTACTGAAGTACTCCTAGGCAAACTGACCTCTAAATTTAGCAAGATATGGCTCATGTTTATTTGCTCTTAATTCTTATTCTTTCTATACTTGTCTTTATCATGCTTGTACATGATTTTATAAAGTTGATTATGTTGTGAGTGAACATATTTCCAATTCTCTGCAAGCTAATTTTTCTCTTGACATTACAGGTTGCCTAAGTTGAAGTGTATAGTACAACCAACTTGCCTTCTCCCTTGTGGTCTTAAAAGATTGATTCCTTATTGGCCGGAGTTGAACGAAGCTCATTGTCATGCTGCGTTAATTCCTTTGATTTGTAAGCATTGTAAGAATATAAAAAGGCTGGACCTCTCTGGACGCATTGGAGATGACAGAGCATATATGCTTGCTTCTCACTTCCCTCAACTTATGCACCTGAGTATCCAGTCGTGTATTCTATCACCAAATGCTGTATCTATAATTTTGCAAGGCCGGCCGGATCTCACTATCTTGATACTCGACATGCTTTCTGTATTGAGGGATTTCTTCATGGTCCCATAAAAGGGAAGGTGATTGCATGGGATGAGGATGAGGTTTGTCAAAAAGCAGTTGGTATCAAAACATATTTGGGTTGTGCTCGAAAATATTGCTCTTATTGTGCTCCACTCTACTCACCCAATATTTCTCGTGAAGATTTATTTCGCTTTAGTGTGATGTAGTCATGTAGGAGGCGTTCTCGAGTTCAACTATTACATATATTGGGGTGGGGGGGGGGGGGGGGGGGGAGGGTTGTAAAGTAGGTTTGGCCCTTCAATTTTTAAACTGATCAATATATCTAATTTAGTAGAGATTCGAGTCATGTTACACTAATGAACACCATGGGTCTCTGGTTTCTATTGTTCTTTTACAGGTAACACTATATTTTGGTGTCATTGGTTATAGTGTGTCAAGGGTTTGATATCGACAGTTAGAGACTGATGTACGATTGTGTTTCTGTAGACGATTCTACATATCAATATTTGATGAATCAAATCAGTCAATATAAAATTTAGAAACTTATCAATTTTCCAATTTTGTTCTTGCAAAGACAACCAAGAAAATTAACAATTATCATTACTTATACACAATGTTATGCTCTTTTTTTCCTAGGGTGTTATGTTAGTTTGAGTTGCACATATTACAGACTGTTGGTGATATTCTTCTTTAAAGTGGGTACTGACCCCAGGCTCAGGAGTGGTGGTTGTATTTACTCAAAGATTTTGGCATGTGTGCTGTGAAGTGTGAACATGTAATCAGTAACCAAGTTTAGCAAAAATTCATATCCTTTGCTCATTTACTGTATTGAATCTTAGTATGATTCTGATTTTATGTCTATGTGAATGTAAAAGAACCATTAATACCTGATAAATTCCTTTTTGTTTTATTTGTGTGCGGTGTTTTTTTTGGGGAGGGGAGGATAGGTTCTTCATGTGTCTCAAGTTGATCAAGAGGAGTGGATGCTGTTGTTTGGGATGGAAGTGATGCTCCCCCACCTCAACTTCTATCTAAGTGTGCATAAGTCACAAGCTCCTTAAAATTTAGCAGGGGATCAAATCATGGATCTTTAGAAGACCCACTCATATTTCAGCAACTTTACATGAGAACCTCTATTATTAACTGGAAGCATTATACTTTTGCTTCTTCAGAAGCTCTTTTGAATACATTAACCTTCTTTTTTTCATTGGTTTTAAAAATTAAATAAGCAGGGTAGGCTGCATAGTTTGTTTTAGGCATATGCTTTGTTTATTGAGATACCAAATCTACTTCTTGGAACATGTGCAGGCTACACACAGAAAAGGAAAATCCACTTCCACTGCAATTGGAACCTCAGCCTTTGGCCAGGGAAACCTTGTGTAAATTTCTGACTCTTGGAACTATATTGAGAGTTTCTGTTGATAAAAAAAATGTCAAGCTCAATATATCTTCAGTTAGTGCTGGTAGATGGATAAAATTTATCAACCTAATGTTTAAAGTACATGAAGGTTTGTGGTGTGGTGTACTAACCTCATCAACAAAAGTCCGTTTCTTACCAAATGAACACCTTGATATATTAGAGAGGCAAAGGTTGGTAATACACATGCTTTCTTTCTTTTGGTGCATGGTTCACTTTGATTTGGTAAATATAATGTATCTGAGATTTGTGGCAGTATCTCTTAGTAATCTGCATCATTGCATGTTCTGTGTGAAAAGGTTGTACATATGTTTCATTAGGGATTTTGAAAAGAGGTTATCCTCTAAATTGGACCGGATGCCATTTACAAGCTTTCCTTGGCCGTGTCGCATTACAGGTGTCAAATTGTTCTCTCTTATCTTTATTGTGTTAGTATATGTGCAAAGATCTTGATGAATAACTGTTATTTACATCTTCTGTGGGAATGATAATCAGAAATTGATGATAAAGTTGAAGATGTACCTCTTGTCACCCTAACGGACGTTATGACATATCCACAGGTACTATTTGTCCTACCCCACTTCTTCTTTCCCTGTTTTAAGATCATAATATGTACGCTTTTATTGCAAACTTATCTGGCATAATAGCAGATTCTAATTTCTTTATTTTCTTTTCCGTGTTAAGAGGGGAAGGAGAAGCGTATTCATTGAACTTGAATATGGCCGTTTTCTATTCTTTACCCTCTTTTCCTTCCCAGTTTTGATCTCTTGGATAAGGTTGAGGTGCTTTTATGTGAAATATTAATTCCAGCTTGCCTTCTCTTTTATACTTCTATAGTTCTGGGGCTAGTATACTAGAATTTTATAGCTATGAAATGCTATACAGAGTATTAGTCCAATGCAAATTCTGATTCCTCTTTTAGTTTGTGTTCCTCTCTCACTAACATATAACATCACTTGTGAATGTGCCAGTGGACTTTGCATCACTTAGGCAGCCAAAAATCTTTATGCCTTTGACCTTTATATTCCTGTAAAAGTCTAGAATCTTTGTTCCAAATCATATATAGGACATGTTAATTTCTTAAATAACAAACGTCAAATTTGATTAGTTTTTTATGGATAAAGGAGAGGAGTTTCAGGCCCGATGCACTTTCTTGTGGTTGCCTGGCTAGTATTTTTTAGAGGGGGTAAAAGGTGAAGTGACCCTCATGATTAGTGGAGGGGGGTAATAATAAAGTTGTCTAGCCATGCCCAAGATGTCTCCCCTGTACACTCGTTCCGTACCCAATTCTTCTAGCCTTTCACATCTTTTGTCAAGACATTTGAGTACATATTTTGGCTGTATTTTTACCCATCCCATTTCCAGTATGGGAAACACTAGGAAATGGGATACCTGTGCTTCATAGTCAGTGGTATCTTTTACTATGTACTAATTTGCTTACAAGTAAAACGTTTGTTGTTCTAAGTATCTCATTCTTAAAGACTGAAATTTGTGCCAACAAGTGTAACTAACTGGACAGAGATTAGATTTAAAGCTTGATGATTGACTGGTTGAACAAAAGGATTAGAAAGAATAAATTGATAGCTTTAGGTTGTCACTCTCGTGGGTAACTTGAGGTTACCAATCTCAATACATATTACTCAATTCTCCAAAAGCATAACATCTACCCCCCCTCCCCCCCTCCTTTTTTTTTCTTATACATTACAATTCGTACTACAAAAGTGATTCCCTCTTAAAGACTATTTGTCTTCTACTGACAAAAGAATCAAGTTATTAGAATTTAGGTGGTGGTTGTTGCTTCTTCACTTAGTGCAACATTAATGACCCTTGCCCTCATTCCCCTACAACATTAACTAGCTGCACTCCTTAGTTGCTTTTGCATTGCTGCAGTTTGTGCCTCCTAGTGTACATTTGGATCGGTGGTGCTGGTGGGCTTCAGCCATTTGAGTCTTATCACACCCATTTTTAAACAATTTAGCAGGTGATTATTATATGACAGAGAATTGAAATGGTAATGTACGGTTAGCATGACGAGCAAGAGGAGAAATAGAGTATCCTGTCATTAAAATTAGTGTGTGGGTTCTTGACAGTTGGGAAATTAGCAGTGATTTCCAATATCCAGAAATTAATTTAGTGTAGAGCCATTGGAAATTATCTCTAAGTCTAAGACGATGATGAGTTGATGAGCCATTGGCAGATCGAATAAAAAAAAAAAGTGGCATATTGCCACAATAACAGATCTTGTCTTTGCTTCCACGTTATAACTAGCAATTATCTTTCATTTGCTCACTTGTACTTTCAAACTGATTATTTGTATGCCTTAAGTTAGGAAGTGTTATACTAAGTATATATTTATACCAGTATATGATTAGGAATTGAGGCTAATCAAAGCAGGCCTTGATATCATCCTATTTTGCATGCATGCCAAATACTTGTCAGATTGTTTTCCTGTTTCTAGCACTGAAGGAACAATTCTCTACCCCTAATCTCTTAACCCCCTTGTTTATTGAATTTTCAAACCATGAAAGCGCTTGGCTTTACTATCTTGTCAATTTGTCATACTAAAATGCTTTAGAAGATTCTGCATGTGTGATAGTATAATAATTTGTTGTGCTTCATTCATTTAGGTGACAGGAAATTATAAATGTATTGTTCGGGTTGTAGCAGCACTTCCATGGACTATTCAGGACTTTCGCTCTCCAGATGGAACCTACCGGATCCGGCTTACTTTAGAGGACCCAACTGGAAGAATTCATGCCTATTTGTATGCTGAAGATGGGGTATGAGTTCTTTCCCTCATCACTTAATTTAAATATTGGCATTGTGTGAAATCTAAATAATTAACTATTGAATTCTGGACATCCTTGTGGAGGTGTTTGGTTCAATTGATTTTCGTATCAGGTATGGTTTTGAAATCATCCAAACCAATTTTTGATGTTTGGCTCTGTACTTAGGGGACCCACCCTCCAAATCCCCCTCCCACCCCCCTCACCCCCTGGGTGTAGGGAATCTTTACTCCTGAAATCAGCCATTAAAATAAAATGTTACTCTAATTTCCACGACTGTCTTCGTCTACCATAGCCTCAGTCTACCCAGTAGTCCAGTGCCCACCCAAAGTACTTCACAGATCCAACACAACTTTCCCTGCAACCTCCGTCAATCCGCCAACAAAAGTGCTAACATTACCACCAAATTGCCAAAATTGTAACAGTGAAAAAAGAAAAGAAAAAGAAAAATAGACTATTCGTCCACCACTGTAACACCCACAATAACCTAAATCCCTGCTGAAATTAAACCACCACAATCATAGCTACCCAAAGTATTTTTATAAAAACAATTTTAAAAAGCACCATGAATTTGCGAGATTATTAATGATCATTTTTGCCCTTAAAGTTCAGACTAAAAGTAATAAAGGGGTTATTTGTAGCATGAAAAAAGGTAATACCCATGGAGTTGATAACTGATACCCTACCAAATATTTTTGGCTGCACCAAACAACCTTTATACAGGACTTCATTTATGATAGAGGAAGTACAAGCCAGTCTTGTGATTTATCATTAAGCTGAAGCAAGGAACTTCATTATTTGGTGGTTTACCAAATTTCACTACGTAGCTCGTTTGAGAGAGACATGTGACTCATTCCTTCGTTGAGAAAGAGGCAGATATGGCAGCATATAGATACTTACATTCTTAAATACTAACAGTCAAGAGTTTGAAGTATGCTTATTTTGTTGTTATTGAATGGCAGGAAGTATTTTTTGAAGGTAACCCGCCAATGGATGCATTGATTCGGAAGTGGAATACATTGCTTGGAGTTGCTGAAGTTGATAGTGGTGGTGTAATAGAGAATGCTCCCAGAAATCCTCCATGGGTTCTTTGCTGTATCAAATCATATTATTTTGACAAAAACGATGTCTGGGGAAGTAGGAAGTGGACTTGGAGCACTAGGAACTTCTCCTATGCAGGCAGGGTGAAATTGATTGAAACAGTATTCTTGAGTCTCCATATCTACTGGGCACAAATAATGGTTTTGCCTAAAAAAGTGCTGAAGGATGTAGAGCAGGCCTGTATAAATTTTTTGTGGCATGGTTCTGACCTGAAGCAGAGCCCTAACTTAGTGGCTTGGAAAGAAGTGTGTAAATCCAAAAAGGAAGGGGGTCTTAATATCAGGGACATCCATTCTTGGAACATTGCTGCTATGGGCAAACATGTATGGGCCATTAGTACTATTTGTGGGTGAAATGGATTCATGCAATTTCTATTCAGGAGCACCAATGGGACACCTACACCCCACCTGCTAACTCAAGCTGGTATTGGAAGAAACCGAATTTTCGATGCAAAGCTCGTATGCTGAAGGTGAACCTTGTAGTGTTGTTTTTGTTTCTGGTTCTGATTTGTCCTAAATCCAGCTTATCTTTATGCTGACAAAAATGATGTCTGGGGAAGTAGAAAGTACCGAATCTTCAATACAAAGCTCGTTTGCTGAAGGTGAACACTGTACTGTTGTGTTTGTCACAGGTTCCGACTTATCCTAAATCCAGCTCTTCTTTTTGTACATAGTGTATGTAAAATGGCGAAACCCGTAACTTAGACATTGAAATGCATGACAAAAGGCTGGTGTAAACTGGACTAATGTTCATTTGATCATTTCAAAGATGAATGAAAAATCCCCTCACTTTTATCTGCCTGAATGCTTTAGTTTACATAAACTGATAAAAAAAATTATTGGATGACAAAAAAATAATAAATAATGTTATAAACCATATTGTTAAATTACATTTGATCGCATAAATCACATGGTTTAATTTACCAAGTTTAGAACTTTTTTTTTCCGATCTATATTGTTCATTTATTTGTGGTGGTCTGGTGGAAGGAATATTGATTAGTATTTCACACTCTAAAAAAAATAAACAATACGGAGTATTAAAAAAAAAAAATCTCATTAGATGATAAATAAGGACTTACCCAGTGAATCATGATTCATAAGGGGTTGGTCAATGATACTCGAACATGTACTTGTTTAGAGTGCTTTTTTATTTTCTATCGGGATATATGGAGTGGTCATGAGCTGCAATTTGGTTTGAGCTCTTATGTGTATTGAACTTATATGGAATGTAGTTAATCTAAAATTTGTAACATTTTCTGATTTTTTTGATAATCGCCAATTAAAAGGAAGCATTTTCTCAATTTTTGTTATAGCAATTGCAGTCATTGAAGCAGCTATTGGACTGCCTATTGTTTCTTCAATTTAGCGTAACAGATTATCAAATTCATCTATTGGACCGACAAGTCTTGTATGTGGCTAGTCACACGGTGTGACCATATTGATTTATAAGAGTAATCTTCATTTATATGCATGAGTAACCTCATTTTTTTTTATAAGAGTAACCCCATGTATTCTATAAAAGTAACTCAAATTTATTATACGAGTGAAATCAAGTAATTTAAAAATAAGTAACCCCATTTGTTCACTTGAGTAACCCTATTTTTTCGTTTTAAAAAATGAAAGAATAATTCCACTTACTTAAGAAAGTAACCCCCTTTTCTCATTTAATTAACCTACATATGTTACAGAAACCTCATTTGGTTTTCACTGTAATCCCTTATTACTTATTAATTAATTGCTTTATATGTGATTATGTGAAATGGCCATACCATGTGGCTAGTCACATATAAGGCTTTGTGATTATATTTTAGAAATTAAAATTTCAATATTCAGCAATTCAAATTAGATTACTAGATCTTGCACCTTAAGATATACTTTCATAAAGTGTAATAAATCAAAGTATTTTGGATCTCTTTTCCATTTCCTATCTAGAAATAGGTTGATTGCAAAAATTCTGGAAAACTATTGATTCGTCTAGTATTTGAATATGTATTTCATTTATTTTACTAGAACTAGATCGAAAATTAATCAAGTGAAAAAAAAATTCTAGACCAATGTCACATTTTGGTAAAATTTATGATACATGTATAGGGTGTACTCAATGTGTCCGAGCTTGTCCCACACATGTATTAGAAATGATACCTTGGGATGGATGTAAAGCGAAACAAATAGCTTCTGCTCCAAGAACAAAAGATTGGTGTCGGTTGTAAGAGATGTAAATCTGCTTGTAGATGTAAACCCGAAAAACCAATCCGTAACCGTTCCGAAAATTATGGTACCCTGTAGACACCCATTTGTGTCTCCCCAAAACCAAACCCAGTGATGAGTGCCTTTCACGTCGAATCATAATCGAATGAAACGAACGTGTGGAAAGGTCTAGTGTTGCGGAAAGTTTTATTTCTTTTCTCTTCTCCCTGTTTTTGAAAACTTTATTTTAAGAAAACAGCCAATCCAGTTTGTTTGGTCCATGATATGGGTCCAATAGTATTGTAGTTGGATGGGGCTTGCAAAGACCTTTCCAACGATATATTATAAGCCCAATTCTGATGAATATTGAGGAAGTTATGGCCAATTTACCAAACTGGGTCCGGTTTGAGCTTTAAGTACGGCCCAATGACCTAGGGGAGGGCCTAATATAATTTATCATTCCTAATGCAATTAGGAATGGTTTTAGTCTTCTAGAACATTCTAGAAGGTTCTTTTCATTCCTAATTCAATTAGGACTTTTCAGAGTTTTAATTAAGATCAATAGCATTTTCGATTGAAATTATTTTATTTTATCTTCAAGTACGGGAAATTTATCAGATTTTCGAAAACGCGTTGAAATCCAGTTTGGCGTCCAAACCCAGGCCTTGGCGCCTGGAACCAGGCTTGGCGCCAGACGCTAGCCATTGGCGCCTGACGCTAGCCACTGGTGCCTGGCGCCAACTAGCCAGGGCTGGCGCCAATGTTGTTTTATGATCTTCAGACTCTGTTTTGTTAAATTATCTTTTTTGGATGATTTTCTCTATAAATATCGTATCAAAAACTCCGTTTTCATTCACCAATTCTCACAAATTCTCATCAACAATTAGTTTTCTTTCGCAATCATAAATTCTCTAATTCTCTCTTAATCATTCACCAACTCTCATCAAGATTTTCTTGATTATTCTCTCTTTCTTATTCTTTTCTAAACTTTTCTTTTTAATACAAAATTCCGCATTCACAAGATCTAAAAACACCTAGCCATATTCGAAGTTGCCTTCGCTCTAGACGTGGAAGGTTTTAATTTCTGAGGGTTTGGTCCCAAATCTCTCTTTCAATTATTTAATTTAATTGCTTTGATTATTATTTTCCTTGAAGTTACTAACGTGTGTATTTTGTTATTAGAAAGAGGTAAGAGGCATCAAAGTAAGTGCTTTAATGGATTAATTGATATTATGATGTAGAAATCATGTTTATATTGTTATTATGATATTCCTAGTATCATGTCTAGGGTATTTTTAATATTAAATATGATTGTTATGATACTTCCTATGTTCTTCCTAATATTTATGATTGTTAGTATCATGTTAGGGCTAAAGATTTGATTTTTATTGCTTAGTGACATGCTAGGGTTTGTTATTAATCTTGTTAGTATCATGCCTAGGATCTTGCTATGCTTTAACATGATTATGATTATGATTGATTATTATTATTATAATGATGTTGATTATTTTATTATGTTGCTTGATGTGCATATTATTTTATTCTTTATTGCTTGATCACCTTTTATTGCATGTTAAAGGGAATTTGTACTTGTAACCACGCTTAATAAGATATTTAATAATCTTGTTAGGTTAATTGTGATTATAATTCAAGTGATCGCCAATAATAGATTTATTTGTGCATTAATATTCAACCAACATAGATTAAACAGGTTTAGGGTTAATCCTATTGATTGTATGTTAGTTAGAAAGCGCACATGAATACGAGCAAAGTAAAGTAGAGGCCTATTATTAGGGCAAGTTCAATCTATTTTAGGTTGGATTTGTACCCTCATCCCCGAACCCTATTTTGGTTCATGACCTTATGGAGTTGACGATCTCTTGGATCGTTAAGGGGTGTAACCTTCACCTCGTGAACGGTTTACAAGTTCCTTAAAAACTTGTTGGCGACTCTTTTTTTCTATCTTCTTCCCTTTTGGACGCCACTGTACTTTAGTGTATGATCACAGTGGGGTTCGAGCTAGTGGGATTATTAAAGGCTTGAAATTATTCCCTACAGTTTTTGGCGACTCCACTGGGGAGGATTTCTATTTTAATTCCTGAATTTGTTTCGGCAATGATTTAGAATGAGTGGATGAGACTCGAAAAGTTCTAAGTATTTCATGTGCGTAATTTTGATTAACATTATTGTCATATGCATAAAAAGGTTCTCATTGGAAAGACCATCCGTAATGAGTCAAAAATATAGGATTTTACACGTAGGAAATTTGAGAAATGTCTTTCACAACTAGGACCGAAATAACACCGCGTGAAACTGGATGATTTTATTGAGCACAGAAAGCTGCTGAGGCATGTGGGAAGTACCGTCAGGGGCCAGAGCTTGGCGCCAAACTTTTAGCCGTAGCGCCAGACGCCAGTATTGGCGCCAGGCGCTACAGTTAAAAGTCGGCGCCAATCTCTGTTTGCTGGCGCCAATTTCCCCCAATACCGAGCCAGAAATATGCGTTCTAATTTCGACCGGTTTTTCGTATTGTTTGCTCGATCCTGCTTCCTGATTGAATTTTTTCTCACTTTTCTGAAACCCATATGTGTTCTACATATGGACATAACCCTCTGGGAATTCATGCTCTATCTACCCAATTGAACGCTCCTGGCAACAAAGGGTACATTTGAGATGTTGAATTCACCAAACCATGGAAGTGAGTTTTTTCTAAAAACTCGCGGTGTCCTATCCACACGCGTTAACCCTTCACGGTTAGGCTTCTACGCGGTGCATCTGGACAATTAACCATGGACCCTATTTGACTAAACCATATCCCGAACTTTAGAGAACTAGAGCCATGGTTAGGTTGCGAACTCATTGCATCATATTGTGCCTACTTGACTAATTGTGCATTATTTGTTGTGCATATATATTCTATGTTCCTCTTAACCGTTTGTTGATTTGTGTTGAGATTAAAATTAATGACTTAAAGAACTTTGCCTAATTAATTAATTACTTTGAGTCAATAAAGTTTCTTTTTAATCGGAATTGACCTATTACGACTTTAGGCATACCCCAGTTGACTAATAATACCGAAAACAGTCCCAGACCAAAGCTCTAAAGTTGGTGCCAAAGTCTGAGCTGTAGCGCCACTGTATGGTGTGTAGCGCCGGACATTTACTAAAAAAGTCTGGCGCCAATCACTATGTTGTGACGCCAGTCCTGTCGCTTGGCCGACAGTTCGGATTATTTGTCGAGTCATCACCTAATGTCTAATTAATCAGTTTTCTATTTAATTCGGTTAATTTTGCTGACTATGATGCTTAATTAAATTAATGTTCGAGTTTAGGCACTAAGTCCCATGGTCTTATACAAGAGTCCAAACATGTCACTTACACTCAATAACACACACCGATGCACATGTCTTGACCATGATTAAGAGAGTCTTGTATGCCTGCGTTTTTTCCGTCATTTTTTTAGGGGGGTAAGTCGGATATTAATCCTCCAATAAATAATAATACTTAGTTCCCTAAACACATGTACATTATTGCTCCCTAAAATATGCATATACTTTTTTTTTAAAAATAAAAAACCCATAAAGTCAAATTGATTCGAGTCAAGTAATTAAAACG